AGTCTGTCCCCTCCCGCAGGCTCTGTCAGAAGCTGTGTGGGAGCAGCACTGTGGGCTTGCACCTGAGGTGGGAAAACCCCAGCCACAGCCAGATGTCTTTTCTTCTAACATGTTCCTTATCTCATCTTGAGGTGTTTGGCCAGTTCACTGGTAGGCGTAAAAACCCAGTATATTAGGGTTTAGGGCTTTTGCAGGGAGGAATGCAAACTTGTCTAGCACACCTCAAATTATCATGGACAGCTCTGTCGTGGAGTGTAAATTCTCATGCTAATAATGCTGTCCTACTCCAGTTTGTTTGGTGGTGTTCTTGTGAATATTGAAGTAAATTCTGGGTTTACAGAGAGAATCAAGTCAGGGACTTTATGGTGTAGAGCACCACTCAAAGTTCAGTCAGGCCACAGGACAGTTGGGATGGACCTCCTCTAGTTTTTGGCTTTTCCTGCTGCAGTACAATGAATGAAAAATCACGGAACTGAGTTATAGTGTTGAGAAATAGCTAACAAAGACATGTTGGAATTTAGTTTAAAAGATTTGATTTCACTTTCGAAAGAAGATAAAATTTGTCTTTTGTGAGCAGTCTTTGATATATTAACCTTGCTGTTAGCTATGCTGAAAACCTCCCCCAAAAAGAGTTTCTTCATGACATGGTTTTATTTTACATAGTGAGTTTTAGCCTCTAGCCTGGCAATGTAATTAGAAGATAGCTGTCAAAACCCAGAGTAATGAATCATAGGCTGTCTGTGATGAATATGCCAAGTGCTTGCGATGTGTGCTGATGTCTAAAAATATTTTGCTTTGTATCCTTACTGGTTTACCAGTTGTGGTTCTAGTAGCATAAATTGTGGTATAGGCCTTTTCTTATTGTGAGGAAAGTGCCTGGCACTGTTCATGCTGAAATGATTTTTTAATAGTTTTTTTTAGTACAGCCCGATGTATATTAAGCTAATTATGGAGTGAGTAATACAGATTTTTTTTTTTCCTCTTGAGTGATTATATATCTTGTCACCTTTTTTGTTTGGTAAGCTATTCATTATCCAATAAATCATTAGGATGTAGATTATAGTTAGCAAACAATCCATCCTTTATCATGCTTCAGACTTTACAAATTGACTTTAGTGCATGTGTGTTCCTGTGTAAGTCTCAGACGAGAGAAAATTTTTACCTGGGTAACACATGGCACTGTGACCTGTCTATGAACGAGCACTCAATTATTTTCATGAAATCACTGAAACTTTGCAGAAGCAGCAACACGTCACCGCACATCCAGTGTCACTGTGAAATGTTGTCCTGTTCTTTATTCATAACGGAAGAACCTCTTGTGGTATCACCCCCACAGCAAAACATATTTCTAGGTTACAGAGCGATAACGTCACGGAACTGAGGGGCCTGGTTTTCTTCTTCCACTGTCTTCAGTGGGATTTGTGTGACCTGCATTTCAAAACCACCATTTTTAAGCAGATAAATTAATGGAAGAAATTATTCCCGTGTGGATCTGTTTTCTTCTAACACAGGAAACCAAAATAAGGTATTGCTCTGCTAACTGTTAAAAAAATTTAAAATGTTGCAGTAAATGAAGTGTCTTTGACACTGAACTGTACCATAGACATACACAAACACACCAGAACTTGTTCTGCAGCTTTCACTGACCTTTGTTTGACTCCATTGGTCCTTCAGAATTGTTTTGGGTCGTTTTGTACTTTGATTTCTCAAACATTTTATCTAAAGATGTGGTAGATCTGGCCCAAGGGGAAGATTCTTATGGGAGGATTAACTAGGATTTATAAGGTGCGTTTCTATTTCTAAGAATCTATTTCTATTCGATAGTTTATTTCTATTCTAGCTTAAAAATGCTATTTTCTATTTAATCTCAAATTTTAGGCTGTTACGGATTAATAGCAGTCTGCATTTTAGAGCATTTGTCAAAACTGAACTCAATGAGGGCTTGAAAATTTGTATTTTGAAGTAAATTATTTAAAAATTAATTCTAAAGCACTCCTTGAGTAATATCAAAATATTGCACATCCTTCACTTAACATCATTGTTGATCTGTATGATTATTGAGTACAAACTGTCAAGGCAGTAGAAGCTCTTACTGAATTCTGGACAAGGTGGTTGTTCAGATAGGTGTTATTGTAATTTCAGGTAAAAATAAAAGACCCAAATTAGGTTTTCCTTCTTTCTTACTTTCTTTATTCACTATTTTATTTTTGCTTAGCTGTTTCATGTCCTGACGTATTTCCCTTTTATTCAATAGTTATAACTACTCAGAAATAAAACTGCAGTATGAAATAAAAATCTATGTCAAGAGTTCGCATTACATCACAACGGTTGAGACCGCACCCCTGCAGGGAGGACAGTGTCTGTGTGTGCCAGCATTTATAGAGTCCATCTCAGGACTGAGATTATTATGGTTTTTGTGGTGGAGAATGCTCTTACACACTTCACACGAAAATGAAAACAAGTTTGGTTTGTGCATACAGCTTTTTCGAATGTTCATAGCTTTTCATAACAGTGCTAATTCCAGGGTTTAATTAATCCATTAGTCATTTAATTATAAAGCTTTGTGTTCAAAATACAATCTCTTGAGTATTTGCAACCTTGGTACCACAGCCTCTAGCCACTGATACAAATAATAAAAAACCCCGTTATTACAGTGTCAGACCAGAAGCAGTTCTTTGCAAAGAAGCCACATCTTTTGCATATGGATAAAGATCTCTAGAATGCAACCCCCAGCTTAACTTTGGCTTGGGTTTGTTCAAGGCCAGTTCTCTGCAGACAGCCAGGCAATGACGGCTGCAGAAGTAAATCTGCTCTTCAGAAGTAAATCTGCTCGGCGCGGCAGACTGAGCCTCGCAACGAGACGGCTTTCAGCCCCAGAGGGGTGCGATAGCGGAGTCTGGGTTGTGTCTTCCCCTTCTGGGTGCAGAATCAGTGGCTCTGGCTTGTTAAATGCTGATTTAAGGAAGAGGATGGGAAAACTGGACCAAGATGATTATAAATCAGCTACACCATTCTAAGTTGTTTGGGGAGTTCGTGTGCGAAAAGACCTAAAGGGGAAAATTTTCATTAATTACTTTGATACAGTGGCTACAATTTTGCTTTAATAAAAGTAATCTCACAAAAGAATGAGAACCCGTAACTGCAATACAGCTTCTCTTTGCTCTTACGTACAAATCAGGTCATTAGGCTAGAAAGATACTCTTAAGTTCAGTTCTGATTAGTAACAGCTCGAGCTGCACTTTTTATAGGCCAGCATAAGCAGAACTGCTATTCAGTGTCCGTGTTTGAACAAACATTGCAAAGTTTGATTCCAGATGCAGCTGAAACTATTTTACTTAAGTGTAGATGTCTGTGCAGCCTGCATAATTTAACTGTGTCAGATAATGAAAATTATATTTATATGTTAAGATACATCTTTTTTTCTGGACTTCCAGCCATTACTTCTGATCTAATAATTTTTTTCTTCACTGTATGTTTTACAATTTTTTGCTCTGTTTTCATTATAACTGGAAAGAAGCATGTATAGTACTTGTATGTGCAACCTGAAAGTTGTCTAGTTATTACTTTATTACCTTATCCTTCTGGCTTTATGCTTTACCTGTAAATCTAATGCTTTAGTTGAGTTGCACTAAAAATACATAGTTTTGCAAAGAAAGTTACTCTTATATCCATATCTTTTAATTTGGTACTTATGTGGGGCTTTTTGCGATAGTTCTAGCATGACTGGTAATTGGTTTTTGAAATTTAAGTAATTGAAGACATTATTGTAAAATATATACACTTTCATTTCATGACCTGTGGTAGGTTAGGGATTATATTTAACTGTGAAACCTCCTAAATGTGGCAGGTGGCACACAGATGAGCAATGCAGATACAGTCTACAAATAGCAAGTTACTTGAGCGATAATTTAAGACTTGGTAAATAGAAATGGGTTGGTCTTAGGGCGTGTGGGATCAGTTTTAGGCAGAAGGAGAAGAGCAGGCATTAATGTGTTTTTTTTTCTTTCTGTAATGTAACACCTTGGACTTAGCCTCAGTGTTCCCATGATAACTATAGTTCTGACTCCTCAGTGTTTGTATGATGCCCTTTTAATGAAATTTCATGCTCTGCAATAGCCAGGCTTAAAAGCTCCTTGTGCTGTTAAGGAGAGACAGCAGGCACCAGACAGCTCTGTTCCCTTCTGTGTAAGTGTGGAGTGACATGTCCCGGGTGGCAGAATGATTAGAATGTCAAATTGAGGTTTGAATCCTGCAGCTAACTGCTTTCTAGGAGGTGTATGTGGATGTGTTAATACACATGGGCTTTTTAAAGCGGTGTTATTTACTATCTACTGCAGAAATACACTATTGGGAGACATTAGGTATAAAAACACAATTAAGAGGCTTAGCAATATGGGTCTCCTCCAGCCTTTAAGCTGCATCTATCCTGAATATTTTGCCCTTGCTGGGAGACAGCCTACATGCTTGCAGCTGCAGCCTGTCTCTCAGCTGCAGTCAGCCTCATAGAATATTGATCACCTTTCAGTTTTATTTATTCATGTTCTACCCAGACAGTGCCTCTTCATCTCTAGGGGACTACACCTTGGCAAAAGTATTTTCTGTGTACTTGGTAGTAGCATAGTTTTGACATTAACACTTAGGTTCTCTGAGCTGCTTTGAAGTTCCTTACTCTAAGGTATCACATAGTCTCTGTATCAGTTTATTCCTAGATCAGCCCTATCTGGTTTCTGCTAACTTTAGTGCAAGAAGACTTTGATACAACATTGAAAATAAAGGTTGATTTAAAGCATCTCCCAGCTTGTCTCTAAGGGAACTTAGCACAGTTAAGCAGTTCCATAATGTTGACAGAAGAAAAAATAATTAAAAAACCACTGAATTCAAAGGCACAAGAAGGTTCTCCAGTCTGTGTGATGTTCTAGAAAATGTACTGTATGACAGTTCTGAGTAAACTGTAGTCGATAATTGCATTCAGCATGTGGGTTTTTCTTTTGCAGAACACCAGCTCCGTAACTGTGCCAGAAACGCTGTTGTTTGTCTCAACCCTTGACGGAAGCTTGCATGCTGTCAGCAAGAGGACGGGAGCAATCAAGTGGACTTTAAAAGAAGGTGAGCAGGTGGTGTCCTGATGCCCTCTACTCAGTAAACAAAATAAAATTGATAACTCAGTGTTGTAGGGCCTGGTAAATGCTTTATTTTCTTTTTTAGTTTTGCTCTTACTCTAGAATTAAGCTGTAGTGTTTCTGGAGCCATGATTATATTTTCACTTGCAAGTCTTTTCCAGGTTTATGATTTGTGTGTTTGGGTTTTTTCCAGAATGTTTAAGTTGTAGTGGAATAATTGGTAGGTATTGTGTTTATGGGAATGAGTGCAGTATAAGCAAGCCTAGAGCAGAATAGATGTCGAATGAGAGTGTCAGCTGGTAGAACTAGTGGCAGAAGGCTGGCACGATTCTATCTCTGGAATACCCTCCATTCACTGGAGCAGTGGATATCATGCAAACCTCAGGTGTTTTTATCTATAATAGTTGTTTAGGAACAGCATAGTTTATTAAATAAAAGAACTGCACTTTTGTAAAGAAATTTAACATTGCTCAGTGACTGGAAGTGATTTGTAATTTTAATTAGTGAGCAGAGATAACTGGTTTTGTCTTCATGAAAAAATTAATATTTAATACAAATTTCTTTTAGTGGGACTCTGATTATGTATGGTAAAAATGATAGTGGCTCTTACTCTTCACTTCTGGAAATAAATGAGAAAGCAGGTCAAATGGAAAAGAGTCACCATGGTTGCACCATTCTGTCCTCTGTTTTTAAACCTGATGGCAGTCTAGCAGGTGAGCTGAAATGGTAGGAGTATCTGCAGTACAAGCCAGTTGTTCGTACTTGTGAAGCCATTCCTATTTGAATGTAAATCAACCAGACAAAAAGTTAACTTCACAAATGAGCAAAGGATGCTGTTGTAGCCCCCTTTGGAGTAAAAAGGGGTCAGCAAGTATGTTCTTGAAGGATCTTGGTTGATAGGTGTGATTACATTTTCTGCCTGCCTCCTCTGTAAATTTAGACTTTTCCCTGAACAGAGTGAAGGAGAAAAGGTTATCAGCCTTCTCCTTTATTGTTGCTGTAGACCACTGCAATGTTAAGAGAAGCTTACTGGTTTTTGCTTGTCGTTCAGCTGACATGAACATAACACTGCATAGTCCTGTCCTAGAGGAATATTGTAACTGGCATTTGTTTGCAGCCAGACCTAGTAAGTGGCAAAAGGTTTTTTGAGGAAGAAATGAACGGACTTTAGTAATGAAAAGGACCTTGGTTAGAGCGTATTGCTCAAGGAACTTCCCTTGTTTAAAAAAAGAATTGTTGCAAAACTATTGTTGGTACAGTAGAACTGCCACACTGGATAGTCGAGTTTTATGGGACTTCTTTTTTGTCTCTCTTGTTAACTGTGTGCTGTTCTGCATCTTATGTGTGTGAGGTATGTTCACGTCCTTTTTGCAAAGCACTTCCTCTTTGTTTCTGTGTAATAGGACAAGAGGGCCAATGACATAAAAATACTGGTAGTTATCATTGTTACAAGATGCTTCGTAAGTTAACTTAGTTAAGTGTACATGGAACACAGGCCTATATATATAAATTGGCAAATTAATTTCTAATTGGAGGGGATTTTATTTTTACAGAACTTATTTGTTGCTGCTCACCCTGTGGGCTAGAAGCCCAACAAAGATGCAGCAATGTTGGAAGCTAATAGCCCATGGAAGTCCTCACCATCTTGCCGTGCAAAATCCCTGGAGGGATTTAATAGTGCAGAATCCAGTATTAATATTGGTGTATAAACACAGGTGTTGGGTGCCCTCTGTCAGCAACGTGCTTGTGTTGTTACAGAGAGTTACCCGGCAGGGAGCTGCGTGCTCTGCAAGCAGTGTTCTTGCAGGTGCCATTTTCCTCTGATTATCAGTGAACCAGGTGTTGCAGTTCATGAGCTTTGAGACGTTGTGGAGGTCACCCTGAGTACTGCAGTGGCATTCATCAGGAAGAGAACGTTTTAGTACTGCACTTAAGCAGCAAGGTATTTAACAAAGGGCAATTCACGTACGTTTTATTTTCACTGGGGAGAAAACCAAGGCAATGTTCATTATCAGGCAGTACTTAAACAAACATGAAAATCTTGCCCTGTGTGGTTTGTTTCAATTTAGCACTGCGGCTTATCTTAGGTACACAGAGTAAATGAGCCATTGGTTATCACCACAATAATATGTTTGGGTTTCCTGCCTTCATGTAGTGCTGGCAAGAAGGGCTGTCGGAATACTTGTGCTCGCCATAAAACAGGCAGAAAAATGGGTCAGTTACTAATAGGACTCTCCAGCAGCTGCTGTTACATGCAGGTAACAAAGTAGACAGTGATCGAGATGGTGATGAGGAGCTGGTTGGCAAGGCAGAATCTGAAGAATGCTTTTCTCCTTAATAGCAGACTTCTAAATTCACAATTCTGATTTCAGTGTGAGCTTTAAGAATGGGATTTTAAGACTGTCCTGTTCCCTCACATCTTTGTAAAAACCATCCTATAAGTCTTTGTTAACTTGAGAGTTTAAGTTAATGAGCCTGATATTGAACTTTGAGATGTTAAGAATGTAATGTTTCCAGACAGTCAATTCTGTTTCCTTCTGTGCTGTTTAAAGTGATCTCTTTCTTTTCACACACCAAGTCCTTAAAAGCTTTTTCCCTAAGAGCTAATTCAGAGTGATTTTCCAGAGCATATATGTTTGGGTCTAGATTTAGAGCCAGCAGAAATTTTGTTATCTTCAGTTCTCTGTAGCAATCAAAAAAAGATGGCCCACACGCAGTTTAAAAGTTCTTGATTTCTGATACCTTACTCATAACCTATGGACTTCAGTGTGCTAGTCGTGATAAGACAAAGGAATAAAGACTGTATCTATTAATGGTGTGCAATATGTAGATTTTAAAGGGCAAATATGAGATCTATAGGTTGTGCTTTAATAACTGTGGTTACTCCCAGGCAAGAAGAAATATCTTTCTGCATAGCTGTAAATTAGTAAGAATTGTCAGAACAAAACAGCAAATTCCAAAGGATAATTTGTTAGTATCTCTAACCTCATTTACTGTAATTGCAGTACAAGGCAAGGGCGACATGATTTTAAATTGGCCCGTTAGCCCAAATCTTATGGCAGGGCCTCAGGTCAGGAAACCGTTTTTTTCCAGCTCATCCCAGTGGGGCAGTGACTTACTCATTTGCTGTTTCAGAATCTCCCACTTCTCCTTTTCAGTCGTTGGTTCTCCCTAAGGGCACAATACAGTGATGAAAATATGCAACTCTGTTTTGTGCCTTAAAAAAGATGTGGTTTTTGAGCAAAGGGCAAATTTTATCTTATTGGATATTTGTGAAATATGGAGAAAAGTTAAATGCACCATATTTAGCGTTATGGTTAGAGTTTCAAAAATTGTTGTATATATGCCTTTTTTCCATGTAGGTATGCAAAATATGGGTTAGAATTATTTCAGAATGGTCTGAAATGTGTCATACTCTTCTGCCCACTCACAAGCAAATTATACAGGCACAAATATTTTCTGGCCATGATGCAACCAAAACTGTATTGGGACATCTGCCTGCTGCCAGGTCAGAATGTTGATTTCAAGAAAGCCTAACTGAGCCAAATAATTTACTAAGTTACTGGACTGTCATTATGGTAACAGGTTTCTCATAACTGCTGTACTTCTCAGAGTTCTAGAATAAAGCTTTATAATCTGGGATCAGCGTCCTTTTAATTCTTTTCTTTTTCTTGACACAGTTACTTTACAAATCTTTTCATTCACTTAGAGGCACTTACAGGATGCTGTCCTGCTTCCTAGCTCACCTCCCCCTTCCCCATGCGCCGTAGTTGTTTGAACATCTTTATTTTCTTAGTCTGGAAAGTGAAAAGCTTTTGGACAGCATATTGTACCAAAAGCTTTATGTAGGACATTGCAAGAAGTTGGCTTTTCCTCTGCTGCAGGGAATGGAAGCTTAAGGGAGAGGCAATTGTATTTTAAATTACGTTTTCTCTGGAAAGGTGTTTTTTTTTCCGATATGGAATACTTACTGCTTTGTTCAGTGGTTATCATCGCTGTTGTTGGTATTGGAACAGACTGGCCTTATTAGAATGACTTGCCTAATTACAGGGAACTGCAGTTCAGGGAAATTTTGAAAGCAGGATTACGTGGTTCCAGTCTTGGCGTGTTAACACTTGAGTGCTGAGCTGTTGAAGAGAAGATAAGGCGTCGGTTCTCTGACTTTTGCAAGAGCTTTTTCTGTTTGACCCATTGTGGAGCAAAAGTTGTCTTCATTTATAAGATGACTCATTCTTTTACTAGTCTGTATTCAAGCATATGAAAACTACTGTAAAACCTGACAACAATAAAGATTCTCTTTTTATCTGAGTTCTTATTTCAAAATAAACTTTCAAATGAAGTTGGAAAATGTCCCAACCCACATGAAAGAGAATGTGAAGAGTTCATTGTCTGTCTTCAAAGTCTCTTCACACAGCTACAACCTTAGCTCGAGATCAAAACCTGTTAGGAAAATGGAAAAAATTATATCACCCCAGTAGCTAAAAATGTAAGAAATGGCTCTCCACAGCCCATCTTTCAGGTGGATGATGCTAGTAGTGAAAGAATTTCTTTCACTTCAGCAAATGAACTACTCCATGGGTTTGCTCACTGCGAATAGCCTCGTGCTTGGAAGCGAATCAGAGACTGGTACTGTTTTCTAACAGTTCATGTACAACACTTCAGTGTTGCAGGAAGCCATCAGAATAATCAGTGGTTTGGTTCATGTGCCAGTAAGTACTAAAAGAATTTCCTGCTGCTTTGTAATAACATCTTAATCTGTTCCATCTACCACCTTTTTATCATTGTTAGTAAATCAAATTTCAGTTACTGAGAAAACAAGTAAAAGCATTTTTTTCCACTTCTGATGAAGCACTGTTGTTCTTGATACTGAAGGCATGATGCTGAAGGAAAGCGTAAGGACTTTCTCCTGGGCATGATGGGTGTGTACAGTGCCTGCTGGACAGCTCGAGACTTGTCATGGGGCTTTCATTCGTGTCTTCTGCTATGGAGAGTGCTTTGGAATAACTCACTAGAGAAATTGAAAAGACATTCGTGGGATTTCTGCATTGTTTATTAGCGTACATTTGTTGATGGAATTGTTATAAGTAACATTTTTCTGACTGCTTTCGGAAATACAAGCCTGGAGGTAGAAGTTTAATGCAAGTAAATATTGTACACATATGTGTGGGAGGTCTGTGGGTTTTTTGGTAAAAGTAGATTGCCTAGTCTTAGAAAATTAAGTGTAGTCAGGCTGTTAGTCCAAAAATCCTGTGCTGTTTTATTATTAATTGTATTTTGGGGGCAGAGACTCTCCTGCAAATGTCATGGACAAACCAGGATCAACTAGTAGAAAATATAATCTACCTTTTGAAATTTCCTGTATCTGTTCACGTTTTCCTGAGCATTCTTTGACAAAACTAAACAAACAAACAAACAAAAAACCCCAAAATAACACTAACCCAAAAACTGAAATAATAATGTGTGTGAGGAAATTGCATTCTGTCCTGTTTCACTGTAGAATGTGTGTTGTCTTGTGTCAGTAACAGTGCAGTTAGAAAATTTGAAACTTGATTCAGATTACATTGTAATTTCAGATTACATTGTAATTTCATATAACTTCACACCTCTATTTAATTCAGAGAAAAAGCAGTCCTTCTATTAAAATTAAATGTTTTCTGAAGATAATTGTTCTCTTATGCCTTGCCTAAGCTATCTAGAAAGTGATTTTAAAGAAAATCTGCCTTACTATACTTAATGTATATGCAGTCAGTTACCATTTCAAAAACAAGATGTGCAGCTTTGTTATCACTAGTGATTGTACACAGTGAGTATATAAACTTGATACCTGTCTGCTTTTAGTAGTTCAACCTAGCAGTTCAGCTCCAGAGTTAAACCAGTTTAGGTAATGGTCATGTAATACTTTTTTCATGCTTGCTTTTCTTTACTGATGGAGAGATGATGTTGTAAGTCACCATGTGTTGTGTTAGATATCGTAAAGCTTGTGGAATGCTTGAAGCAACCACTGAGCAATAACTGGCCTGTAGTCAAGTGTAGGGATGCAGCAGGGGGCGTCCCTCCTGAAACCAATTTCTTCACACAAGGGATAGAAATGAGTTGCTTTCTGCAGTTAATGCAGTAAAGGTCTGACTAAGCAGCGTGGCCTGTAGGCACAGATATATAACGACGAATCATTTGGCTCCTTTGTTTGAATATTAATTATTCTTAGGCCCTTTTTGATGTGTACTTGAGTTCTCAATAAGTGGAGTTTATGATACAATGTGGAGCTCTGCACTTGCATGGCGTTCCAGTTTTATACCAGTGAACAGCGGTAATGGTGATAATTCATGATTAAGAGAAAAATCGCTCAAGATAGGTACTGCTGCTCTCTTGTCTTCTATGACTATGTGGCACTGCCTAGGACTGTTAAGAGTTCCAGCTAAACTATCTCAGCGTTTTTGATGCCCTGTGTGTGAGACTCAGAGTCTAAGATGAGTAGGCTGTGTTGTGCCCTCCAGTGGGTTTACCGAGTTCAAGGATTTAAATTGCCAGTATTTTTTTTCCCTTTATGCAGATCCTGTACTCCAGGTGCCAATACATGTGGAAGAGTAAGTCTGTTTCCTTTATCTTGTTTACTGCTCATTTGATTGTCACTGACGTCTTGAAATTTGGTTTATTTTGAACCAAAACGATGTGTGTTCTAGAAAAGTTGCATACCTTGCGTAAGTCAATTTAACGTGGTTTAGAGAGCAGATACAGAAAGGATATAATTCTCTTAGTTGTAGCACTAAGAAGAAACACCCTGTTTATAGACTTGTTTTGAGCCCTTGCTCAGGTGTAGAGATGGAGTGAGCTAACCCTGCCGCAGTCTTCACTGAGAAACTTTGAAAATGACGGAAACAGCTCGGGTGGGATCTCGGGGGTTAGTACTTACTCTCTTCAAACAAAAGACTAAAAATAGCGAAGCGTAGGAAACTTCAACCACCGCCACTACCAGAATCTTCAAATGAAACCCTCAGGCTGCTACTTCAGAGTAGTTCCTCCAGCATAGCAATCTCACATTTAACTAGAAAATTTCGGGCTTAAACTTTGTCTCTGAAGTCAGTGGTAACATTATTTCTCTTTTGTGGTTTGTTTTTGATGTTGGGTCTTGGGGTTTTTTTTCTGTAGTTTGAGAGAGGGAGTTTGCCTTTATGTCTCCGATTTACTTAGTTCTGGCAACTCTTTTATTGCTCCTGGCCTTCCTTATGCTCTCTGGCTTTGCTTATTTTTTTGATTTGTTTTTAATTCTGTGGAATTTTAAAAGCATATAGATCTTGTTTAAAAACTTTCACCTGAGTGATTGCCTGGCACGTTAAGATCTTTGAATTTTCAAACAGATTAGTAATCATGTTAGATCAGTTCTGAAACATCTTTATATTTTTTTCATTTTCACAAATGAAACTTCAAAAATGGATAATTCAAAGTAAAAAAATAATGTCAGATCTCTCTAAATCCTGTACTGACCATATTTGCTTTCCTCTTCTATGAGAAGCACAGTACATTTTTTTAATTATTTATAACTGCTACTTAAATCCTAGACCAGCATTTCTTCCAGACCCAAACGATGGCAGTCTGTATACTCTTGGTGGCAAGAATAGTGAAGGCTTGACCGTAAGTATATTTTTTATATTCTCTCCTCCGATAATTTTTAGAAAAGTGCTCTGATCAGACTCGCACAAGGACTAATTGCCCAAGGGAACTTTCTACTTTCTAGACAGTGAAGTTTTTTTGGGCTTGTGTTCTGTGTAATGGAAGCATACCAGTTTCTTGGAAAGGCTTCATCAGAGTAGCCAAAACCCAGCTGCCTGTGCCAGTGGCAGGATGCAAGTTTTTGGAACAACAGTGCCCTGCGTTGTGTTGCAGAGTGCACCTTTGCAGTGTGAAAACATTTTTATTAGACTAAAAAGTTGCCATCTTTCCTGTGATTTTCAGGAAATAATTTTTGCTTGAAACTCTTGCTAACATATGTTTTGTCCACTTGTACTATTTTTTTTTTTTTCTGCAACTTGCTAAAATAATGATGATGACAGTTAAAATTTATGTGGTCTTATCCAAATACTGAATAGTTGCTGTACAATTTGTTGGGAAAAGTTTACCCAGAATGATACAAATCAAATAAGTCACTGTCACCCAAATACTTAATTTTTTAAAACCATCTGCCAAAAAGCAGGATTGTTATGTGTTCTGTGCTGACACCTTTAAAAGATGTTTTTATAAGATCTATTAGGCAGACAAGAATGCTGAACCTTTTCTAAATAGTCACCAACACATGTAACCCACAGATATTAGCCAACATTTGCCTTCTATCTTTAAAGATTGTGGTGATACTTGGGCAAAATGTTTGGCTTCCCACAAGTTTCTTTTCTCTGGCAGCTGCTATGATTTCCCTCAAAAACTTGAATATTGTTAAATATTTTAGGATTTGCTCACCACTCCCTCTGCCCCCTGGTACAGCCAGATCATAACTTGCAAATGATTCTTTGCTGAGAGTCCAGGAAGCAGAAGTCTGCTTGAATCTATTCCTTTATTCTGTAATCTCCTCTTTTTGAATTAGAGTAATTTAATTTCTGTTTAGAATTACTATTTTAAAAGTTTTAAGCAAGGGTGGAGTAATTTTAGCATATTTAAGTAACATCAGCAAAGGCTGGATCTTTACTGTTGGTGCAGCTTGTTTATTACTCCTGTGACCTCGTCCTAGTAAGTGTCTCTTAAAACTGAAAAAGAATCGTCACCCAGTCTGTAAGTGTAATGCAGGCTTGGCAGGATCTCAGGAGCTGCAGCTGGAGTGGCTTCACCCTCTCAGCAGTTTCATTTGCCTGAAGATATCTGGCTTTATGTTGCCGTACGGTCCTGTGGAGAACTGTTTTATAGTCGTTATGCGTGAGGCAATTAAACCACGGTATGTTAAAGCCCAGACGGTTTATAAGGGATGATGGTAGACCTTGAAACCACGGAGTCTTGGCCTCCAACCTTCTCAGCTGCAAGCAGCTCTTCCATTCCAGGTGGATTTCTCCTGTTGTAAACTCAACTGAGACAGACTTCTCTTGGTTCAGGGTTTGCAGAGCAGAGCCTTGACCTGAAATTATGACTTCTCAGGCACTACAATAATATTAAACAAACCAAAAAAACCTATCATTTGAGATTTCTGAAGTTTTCTGACCACCCTTTTCTGTGGACAAACGTGAAAACTATCATACTGATGTGGACAAGCTTTTATTGTTGTGTTGGTTTTTTTTCCCTAGAAACTTCCGTTTACTATCCCAGAGCTGGTGCAGGCATCTCCCTGTCGCAGTTCGGATGGGATCCTGTACATGGGTGAGCACAATTTTTACCTCTTTCAGGTTGTAAAATGTTCAGCAACTACAACATTTAGAGACCCCCAGACAGACTGCATGGAGAAATGCTTTGTTTGCCTATTAATTACGATTTTTCATGAACCTTCCTGATTAAAGTCTGATTAATATAGAATTCAACTACTGTTGGAAGATTTAAAAACAAAAACTTTTTCTGAAGGACGAAATGGCTTTTTTAAGCAATGAATAGCCCGTATGGGGATTCTTGATTTCCTGAGATGCTACCTGTCAACAAAATGTGATTTCTACTTAAAATCTTCTTACACTTGTAAATGTCATTGCCTGACAATTACAATTAAATTAAAAATCCCATTGCAATGTGGTTATGATTTCAGGTAAGAAGCAGGATATTTGGTACGTGATTGACCTTATGACTGGCGAGAAGCAGCAAACCTTGACCTCCTCATTTGCAGAAAGTCTTTGCCCATCAACATCCCTCCTGTATCTCGGGAGAACAGGTCCTATGCTTTCTTTTGCTGCAGCTCAGGAGAAAATGTGGTTGTGGTGGTGGTGTTTTTGACTTGTAACAAATGACCTTGTGATCAGTTCAGGTCTTCAAGTTTATTTCTTAGAAAAACTTCTGTCATTTTACTTTTAGACCATATGCAGAAAAATTATTGCCTCTTCATAGCAGCAGAAAGATTTTAGGTTTTTAAACTTTGGCAGTATTCTTCTTGTTGACTACGGTGTCTGTAGCTCTGTTTAACAGTCCAGTAGCGGCTGTGAACCCAAGTTTGCTCTGGGACATACAGCTTTTATAAAAACTGTTTAAAGAAAATAGAGATATAGCCAATCCACTGGGATTGCAAATGCAGTATTCTAAATAACTGTTCAAATGAGCACCATATAGGTGTTGACTAGTAAAAAGAAAGTGTTATAGACTTGTTCTTTCATCTCTGTATTAATGTGTTCTTTAAGTGTGACTGTTCAGTTACAGATCACAGTATGCTGAATTTTAGAATGCAGGGTTTGGAAACTTGTAGTAAAAGTGCAGCAGAAGAAGCTGGGCAATAAAAACAAAGTGCTGGTAACAGGGGCAGTAACTCAGGAACTGTTCTGAGATCCCTGCAGATCGCTGTACGAGTGGATTGGTTATTATCTTTTAACAGCTGTGAAATGTTAATTTATCAAGAGTGTTGGGGAAAACGAAATGCAGAGAGCAGTAGGTGGTGTGTGTGTGGTGTTTTGAAGAGTGTCTCGCATTTGAGATGATTGATTCTGTTCTCTCATAGGTTTTTTTGCTTCACAGACTGTATATTTTTTAACAGAGTACACGATCACAATGTATGACACCAAGAAGAAGGAGCTGCGCTGGAATGCCACGTATTTCGATTATGCAGCTACTCTGCCTGATGAAGACATAAAATACAGTAAGAATTCAATTTCTGTCTTGTTTTGTTTTGTTATTTTCCCCAGATATTAGCTGTGGGGTTTGCATACAGGCAGAAATACTTCAGGTTTTTTGCTGTGCTTGATAGGTCACACTCTCGGATTTTTGTGCCACTGGTAGACATCTGCCAGCCTTTATCCTTTTACATGATGTAATATCTGGAGCCTGGGGTAGCTTCAGGTAAATTTAATCTAAGAAGGTGCAGCTCATGAAGATACGACTCTTTAAAGTTTAGAGAATAAAGGCAGTAGAGGAAGCAAACCGAAACTGTGGTGCACGCCCAGCAGAAGCTGGGGTAGTGCCATTGCATTGCAGCTGAACTTGTGTCAGCCTAATTCTGACACTGATTTGCTCATCAGCCACTCCTTTGCCATGGAAGATGTAAGCGACTCCACAGTCAATGTAAGGCTTGAACTGTTAATATGCATTAAAATTGCATGTCTGTGGCAATTCAGGTAATGTCCCACGTATTCCTGTGTTGCAGAAATGTCACACTTTGTGTCTAATGGAGATGGACTGGTGGTGACCGTAGACAGCGAGTCTGGGGACGTCCTGTGGATTCAGAATTACGCTTCTCCTGTGGTGGCTTTTTACATCTGGCAACGTGAAGGCCTACGGAAGGTTATGCACACTAACGTGGGGATAGAAACTCTGCGGTACTTGACGTTCATGTCTGGGGAGGTTGGACACATTACCAAGTGGAAGTACCCTTTCCCAAAGGAGACAGAGACCAAGAGCAAACTGACGTGAGCATGAGTATTCCTGTTCTCATTGTCTACTTGACCTTATTTATATGCTTTCAGTTAAGGGTTGTTCTAGGAGTTTCAAGGTGGTGAAAAGAATACGTAAAAGCTGCTCTAGTTCTTCAGCCTTTATTTTATATCATAGCTGATCATTTACTGTCTTAAAGACAGAGACAATAAAGCCTCAAATCTCTCATAAACTTACAAAATGTATATTCATTAACTCTTACCGGATGTTCTGTATTGAATAGTATCTTACAATGTGGAACCAAATTTTTTTTTACAATGTGAAGCCTTTCACATTATGAAAAAGGCGCGTAGGATCTTGGCAAATACCACTTATTGAATAATTCAGCAATAGGACATGAGTTACGTGAATTGAGTAATTATGATGTGAATAATCAACTAACAGTGCTTTCATAATTATAAAGAATGGCTTTATAAATCAGTACTTAAAATAATTTTACAGATGCAGGCTTTTCAAGACATAAATATCGATGATTTGAGAAACTCCTGCATTAGTTCTGCAGGATTGTGTTGCCAGGGTTTTAGGTAAGATGATGAAACATCCATTTACCTACTTGTTTCTGACACTTACTGTTTTTTTCCAGACCAACTCTATATGTAGGGATGTATGCGTCACCATCAATGGTGCATGAAGGAGTAACTGTTGTGGTAAGTTGGGAGCTGCAGGAGTTGAATTACACCTGATGAAAAGGCCTTTACAGAACTAGTACCATCCTGGGTTTAAAAAAAAAGTTGAAAGGGAAACATAGGTAAAAACATATTAAAAAAGACAACTTTGCCAAAGTCAAGTGGGGATGGGATCTAATTAAAATAGAAGACACTGTACATCTACAGAGATGTGGTTTTAAATTGCAGATTGCTCTCAAGACGTGTAGCGAATTAAAACATTACGCAGTAAGCCTTAGAACGCATGACCGTATTTCAGAAATCATGTCAAATGCTGCAGAGAAGTAACTGTGGCTCATCAGGAGCTGTGCCAGGCAAGACCAGAGGTTGCTGTATGGGAATGGTGATGTGTCATCATTAATGTTAAAATTGTCATTTTGTTCATCAGAGTAACTCCCCATAGATAGGAAACGGCATCGTAGTTTTGTTTTGCTCACACTGTGGCTGTCCGGGGAGGAAATCAAGATCCTGTTTAACTTTTCTAAAAATGAGGGAGCAATCTCATCCCCTAGGCAACGTGTAACTTAGAAGGTCTAAAGTCCAAGGTTGTTGAAGCAGTTGCTGAGGGCATACTGGCAGTGTTTATTTATAGTGACTTTGCTGCCAGTAATTTTTGCTTGCCCACCGATTTTGACTTCCCTTGTTTTATTTAGTTGCTTATTAAATACTATGGGGCACAGTGCTTCCTTAGTTGTAACGATACTCTCTCTTTCCAGCCCCGTGGCAGTGCCATACCCTTACTAGAGGGTCCAAAAACAGAAGGAGTCACAATTGAGGACAAGGGCGAGTGTGTTATCACCCCCAGTACGGATGTCAAGTTTTCTGGCAGACTGAAAGACAAGAACAAACTGAACTACTGGAACCACTGGCTTTTAATCGGTACAGCGGGGTCGCGTTGCCACCTGCAGGACAGTTCCCATCCCAAGCTCAGAGCTGCTTTTCAGCTGCTGCGAATCAGTCACTAGGACTGCCTGAACCCAGGCAGTAATTATTGAATTCTAGTAGTCATTTCTAATTCGTCCTCATTTGCGTATGAATTAATGTCTTTAAGTACACGACTTCATCCTGTTCTTCCCAAGCCCCCTGCTTTATTCAGAAAAAAAATAGCTCAGTATGTGAGACGTTGTTTACTGTTTATTTGCCTCCTCCTTCAGAAAGTGGCATAGATAAGTTATTATTTACTGTAAATATTGTATTCTTGTTCCTTAGGATTGTTTTATTTTGCATAACGTTACTTTAATTCTCCAGATCTGGATCAGAAGGTCATGTTTTCCACATTTAGCAAATGGAGGATTAAGACACTGAAGCTGAAGTTGATGAAGTGTCAGCCTGTTCTGTGTGTCCCAAATCCTAAAATTTTTGAATTGACTTTTTAAGGCATTTACAGTTTCTCTTCAGAACTGAAGAATTGTCTGAAGTTAGGTTTTAATTAATACAAGTTTATAATCAAGTGATACATGCCATAGGATCTGTGGCAGGGATGGGGTGTAACTTTCAACACTTTTAAGTGACACCTTTCGCTTCCTGGGACCCCTTTCTTTGTTGATACTGGTCTGCTCAGAGGGCAAGATTTGAGCTTTGGTTTTGTGATGTTCTCAAGCCTTTTGTAAATCAGCTTCAGCAAAGATGTTGAAATCAAGAAAATCCTTAATAAAAAAGGACAACTTTTTATTTCAACAAATGTGTTTTATTTGAAGGGCATCATGAAACACCATTATCTGCCCCTACAAAGATCCTGGAGAAGTTCCCAAGCAACTTACCTAAGAGGCCTGAAAATGTGATTCCTGCTGACTCTGATAAAGCCAAAATTGAAGAGGTTTGTGATGAGAATAATCACCGTACTGGATGATAGAAGAATATAAAGGAGTGGAAATTAGGGAAGGACTCAGAAGGAGATCTACATGGAATTACTTCACATTTTTTGTGTCAGATTTTCATATATTGAGCATGTAGAATCGCTGGTAGGATGATGTGTCATTCTTTATTTCAGAATTAGGGCTTTTAAGCTGCTTTTTTTTTTCACATGCAAAACTTGTTTGACTTTGGTGGGGTTAGAAATTATTAAAAATTATTTAGCAGAAAGGTTAGTGTATAAATGTTCCATTACCCACATAGATATCGAGCTAAAAGAGCTTCCTGTGCCTCTTAGGTTATTGACATCGTTGAAGGTACCTCGACAGAAGTGCCGCCTGCTGTTCCAAAGGATATTGAGGAGAAACCTGCTCGGCCTGTCCCGCGGCCAGAGGCTCCTGTGGACTCCATGTTGAAAGACATGGCCACGATCATTCTCAGCACTTTCCTGCTTGTGGGCTGGGTGGCTTTTATCATCACTTACCCAATGGTAATGCTCACTTAGTTTGATGTGCTTTTGAGTTTTGGGAAAGTCAATAATATTTTACAGCCCAAGAAATGATACAGGAATTAGAAAGTAGCACACTACAGCTTTTTTTCCCCCTCCGTACAGACGTGCAGTGGGTAGCAGAGGCTACAGATTTGACGTAATGGTGATTTCTCTGACCCTGTGTGTGCCAACTCTGGAGATACTTTTTTCCATCCCACCAATGCTGTGTTGCTCTTTTCATGGACAGGATCTTAACACCATTGGCTTCATTCCTCTCTTCCTCCTTCATCTGAACCACTGTCAGGTTTTCCAGCTTTTGGATCAAAGCCTTTATCGTCTGTGCTTTAAAGACACCTAAGCAACCTAGTAACAGTTAGCTTTTGCCGTATTAACCAACCTGTGTGATTTCTAAGCTTTGCAGTGGAAGTTCAGAATGAAACTGAAAGTTCCCCAGCCTACTTGACTGATAGTGTCATAACAAGAGAGTTTTCCTCCCACCTTTTGGAGGTGGCTGCTCCAATAGCTGTAGAGTTCCCTTTTGTGACACGAATGTAACAACTTCGCTCCACTGACGGAACTGAGGTCCTTTCTCACAGAGTGTGCATCAGCAGCAACAGAGGCAGCATCAGCTGGAAGAGAAGATACAGCTCTTGCAGCAGCAGAAGCTGCCCTTTCGTGCTCCCAGTGATCTACCCCCAGAAGCGGATTTCTTGGACACCTCCTGTGGGCGGACAGAGAGCTCAGCCACCAGCACGCCAAATATGTCCCCCAGAGCATCAAACCATTCTGCCTATTCCAGCATCTCCACGTCTGACGTTGGGAGCTGCCTCTCCACTGAGCAAGAAGAGGGAGGTAAAGTTGTTCTGCTGTATTTTATCCTGAATCTCTGTATTTCCCCAGTCCGTATGATGATAGAGCATAACAATTAAAATACTGGTTGATGATGCCTCATAGATCAGGAAGTTGGAAAGGCCCAGCGTTCTCATTTAGCCTGACCATTTGCAAAGCACTGCAGGTGTGCCGTGCCCTGACTGAGCAGGATTATTTCCTTTACACAAATATGCAGTTCAGAACTGCTGTCTGACAGAGGATGTTGTCCATAGCAGTATATTCCTACAACCTGGAGCCATTCTGGGGAGAGGTTCATTTAAATGAAGATATGTATTATTATGCTTAATTGGAGTCAAGAAATAGGGATTATGCAGCACAGCCCACCTTCCTGCCTGATCCTCCTGTGCACTCTTTTGCCCCTTCAGAGGTTCTTCAGGGGAACTGCTAGTAAACCCACTTCCATATTTGAGGCAGCATTTCCTAAATGCAAGAACGTGTCTGTAAAACTTTCTGTAAAACTCTACAAATGTCCGCTGAGAACCACTGACCTCTTAAACCGTCTCGAGACACAAGCTTTCCAGATCTTACGTCAGGTGTTGTGTGCAGGATGTGTTTGACTCTACGTGTTGCATTGATGATTAGCAAGATACTTTCACGTACTGGCCCAGAAGGATGTGCAGCTGTAAAAAGCAGCCTTGAACCACCCTAAACTAGTCCTTGTGTCTTGTTTTTCGTTCAGATGAAGATACAAACAAAGTGATGGTCGGCAAGATTTCATTTAACCCAAAAGATGTACTGGGACACGGAGCTGAAGGGACAATTGTGTACAGGTAGAAGACAATATGTGCATTCGAAGTTAAATAGGCCAATGAAGGTCTTATTTGCATTAGAGTTTGTGGGTTTTTTTTGTTTCATTTTGTTTTTAAATTAACCCCCCCGTATCAAATATGAACAGAAAAGAAACTTTTGAAAGAGTATTTTGCATGCGTCCCCAGTATTTGCATGCAGTGTTTCTTTACTAGCAAAAACTACTTTTCTTTAGAAATGTTTAATGACCGAATGTGTCTGTATAAGGTAGGTTTTCTGTTGTCACTCGCTTTGAATCTGCTTTGTTTACAGAGTGTAGAAGGGTGATGTGGGTTTCCTTCCTGTCTGTAGGGGGACATTTGATAACCGCGATGTTGCAGTGAAAAGAATTCTTCCCGAGTGCTTCAGCTTTGCAGACCGTGAAGTACAGTTGCTGCGAGAGTCCGATGAGCATCCTAACGTGATCCGCTATTTCTGCACGGAGAAGGACCGTCAGTTCCAGTACATAGCCATCGAGCTGTGTGCTGCCACTTTACAGGAGGTGATGGGTCACCTGCAAACCCACAGAATTTGTGGAAGTCTCCTCCCTGGAAGGCCTTGAATTTCCTTTAGCTCAAGTTGCTGAAGTGCCTGCCGCAGGTGTTGCAGTTATTCCTGCCATCACCTCTGTGACAGTTGCACATTCCTACAGCAGGGGGATTTTCCAGACCTTTACAAAGACATCCCTAACCCTGTGCTGATTAAAGGGTAGAAGCTGTTGTGCTTTGATCCTTCATGTGAAGGACTCCCTTCTAGTCATCCTCCTACTCCTGCCCTCTGCACTTGCCTCTGGAGCACAGCGCTGTACAGAATTCGAGCTCTGAATGACGTTTTAGAGGTCATCATGTTCAGGGAGAGAAAAAAAGAATAGAAAAAAACCCACCCCAGACTTTTATATGTGTTACCAATTAGCATTAGCGTGCGAGTCTAAACTCTTTTTTGGTGGTGGGGGGAAGGGGGTGTGCTTAATATCTGTGCAGGGGCTAATGATAAGCAATGTTGTCTCTGAATCTTCTGGTTTTTCTGTTGTAACCTGTAGTATGTTGAGCAGAAGGCCTTCAGTCACCATGGCTTACAGCCCATCACTCTCCTGCAGCAGACGACGTCTGGTCTTGCCTACCTGCACTCCCTTAGTATTGGTAAGCCTGCCCCTTGGTTCGGTACTGCGTGGCGAGTGGTGAGTTTTCTTACCTATAAAAAAGAGAAACTGGTCTGGTGCTGGGAGCTTATCCAGTCCCAGAAGAGAGGTGTAGAAGCTCCACCTAGTGCTGGCAGCGATAGTGTCTGTCCTTTGACACCACAGTAAAGCTCATCGTTACTGTTTGTTCAGGGCACACTGCATTTTTTGGATAGAAGTCATATCAAACACGATGGATAGTTGTGGTGGAATAAAAAAGCAATGAGCCTCTACCAAATACAGTAGTTTGAGGTTGGGACTTTAATGAACGGTAGTTCAGCCTTGTGAAAGGTCTATAATGCAAATACAGTTAGAATTTACAAATACCCTTGGAATTGCCAGGATGGGTAAATGGATGTTTTTAATAGTCCACAGGGACCTGAAGCCCCATAACATCCTCATCTCCATGCCTAATGCCCACGGAAAAGTCAAAGCCATGATTTCAGACTTCGGCCTGTGCAAGAAGCTGGCAGTGGGCAGGCACAGCTTCAGTCGTCGGTCGGGTGTGCCAGGCACAGAAGGGTGGATTGCTCCGGAGATGCTGAGTGAAGATTGCAAAGAGAACCCCGTAAGTCTGCAGCTTTCCCTCGGGCTCCCCCGGGAGGAGGCAGCACCAGCAGCAGGTGCCACAGTGCTGCAGTCACACCTTAAAATACACAGTGCGTGAGGCCTGGGGATTCCCGCTGGCTTTGAGGCG